GCCGCCGCCTCGCCATAGAGGGCGGGGAGTGGCGCGGCGCCGGGAACGCCGGGCCGCCCGCTTGGCCGGGCCGGCCGTTGGCCCAGACCCACCGTCCTGTCTCGAGTCGTGATCCGTCTCGCCGTACGTCTGTGGTCGCGCGTGGTGGGGGCGCGTTTGTAATGGCCCCTCATCAGAATAACAACGACAAAATATGTAGTTGTAGAAAAAATACAGATTCTCGGAGCTTTGTGGTCCTTGGACGTTGGAGCTTGGCGTTGGCCTGCTTGTGCGTGAGCGGTGAGGAGACACGCAGGTCGCAGCAGGACTGCCGGACAGCGCTCGGGCCGGAGCTGTGCTGACTTCTGCCACTGCCTTCTGGAGAGCGAGGTCGGCACACGGCACAAGCCACAACCAGAGAACCACAAAGACCACAGGTGAGTAATCAACAACAAGGCACATCCACAAGCAACACCTTCAATAGTGAGCAGAGCGAGACACACATCACAAGTTTGAAGTTCATTCACAAACAGCACTCGAGGTTGTCACGCGAGCCACGGGGACGGCGGCCGTCACCTCGCGGCGGCGGCGCGCTTGATGGCGGCCACGAGCGTCAGCGAGAGGGTCGTGTGCGGGCCGACACGCATCCACGACGCGACCACGCCCTTGAAGAGGCCCTGGACGCCCTCCGCCGCGACGATGCGCCACGCGCAGTGGAGAGGGCCACGGTACAGCCTCGGCGCGCCGTCGACGCCCGTCGGCTGCGAGTAGAGGCGCGCGCGCACGACGTCCGTCGGCGAGATGACGAGGACGAGCAGGAAGGAGGCCAGCATCGCGCAGCCAGCGTCGGTGCGAGAGCCGCGCGGCAGGCGCGCTGCGGCAGCCGCCTCTTGCAGCCGCGAGTTGGCGGCGAGCTGCACTGCAGTCCCGGCGACCGAGCGCGCCACGTTGACCGACGTTCCTCTCCAGAAGCCCCGCACGCCTTCGCGGGAGGCAATCTCGGCCACGAGGGCCGAGACGCTGCGCGACGGCGCAGCCGCGGCCGGGCTGGCCGCCACCGCTCCTCCTCCTCCTCCTCCTCCGCCACCGCCGGCGCCGGAAACGAAACTGCGGCCCTCGAGCTGCAGCAGGATCTTGAGCCGGTCCAGTGGGTTGCAGACGACGGCGGCGACGCCGCCAGACGTGCCGCCGGCGAGCAGCCGCTCTCTCCATGAGGCGCGGCGGGAGCCGCCGGTCTGGGCCTGCAGCAGCGGCTCAAAGAGGCCGATGCGGAAGGAGTTCTTCGACGCCTCGCGCACCATGGCGAAGCGAAGGCCGCGCTGCACGCCCGTGAAGCCCTCCTCCACCCACGTCTTGCGGATGCAGTCCACTGCGCCGCGGTACTGCTTCTGTGACGCGTCCTGCAGCGCGGCGTCGAGCGAGAGCCGTGTACGAGCGACGTCGGCGGGATTCGTGGCGAGGCACGCGACTGCCGGGCCGGCGGCGGAGGCGAAGAAGCTCACGAAGAGCGAAGAGCGGTGCCCTTCGTCAGCAGGGTTGAAGGACATGTCGAGCGATTTCCAGCAGGATTCGACCTTTTTACGGGGTAAGGAATGGTCCACCCCGGCGATTTAGTTATTCTTCTGGGGCAACCTGGAGGGATATGAGTTGACCTACAGTATTCCACGTCCTAACCTAATTAGTTAATTCATTAATTAATTACGTATTGTATTCCGCGCTGGGTATTCGTAAGTATTCCAGGAAGGCAGGGCGCGAGGCGGAGCTGTCTCGAAGCAGCGTACCACCACCCACGCTGTAGATGGACAGAGAACTGCAAATTCCCTTCCCCCCTCGGAGGGGGCCGGAGGAGGCGTACCCCGAGGACCCGCTCTTTCCCCTTCCCCCCTCGGAGGGGGCCGGGCTGAGGGAGGGTGTAGAGGATGTAGAGTGTAGAGCGCTGTAGAGCTGTAGAGATGTAGAGCGCTCTGGAGTGCTGTAGAGCTGTAGAGCTCTACATCTGGCGCGTGACGAACTGCCTCCGTTGTAGAGCGATGTAGAGCGCGATTTTGTTGTAGAGTTTGTTGTAGAGGCTCTACAGCAAAACCGCGGGGAGGCAGTGACTCAAAGAGGTCGAGCCGCGCTAATGGGGTGTCTCCGAGCTTACTGGAGCTCTGATGGACGGCCCTGACTATCCCTGACACACAGAGAGTCACTCTGATGGCACACAACACCCTATAACTGCGTCATGACCAGCCTGCCATGCGTCGCCGGTGCCGCATTCGTCGCAGTGCTTCTTTAGCAGGCGGTGGACTGTCGGCTGCGAGGACGGTCGCATTTGCGCGAGGCGAGGCGAGCATTGCTGCGCGTTGCATGCGCCATGCCTCGCGCCAGCGCGTGCGGGAGCTCCTGGCTGAGCGTTGAGTCCAGGCGAGTTGCGCTGGCCACTATCGCTACGCCGAGCCGAGCTGACGCGCCGAGGCGCCGGCCAGTCGCAGCCGTGAGGCATGCCACAGCAGCAGAGGCACCTGCCACCCATTGGGCGGGCAGACAGAAGGCCAGGGCAGCACTGGCGAGTGCAACGCGCCTCATGTCGGAGACCGACCGTGCCTCGTTCGCCGCTTTTGATGTAGAGTTTGTTGTAGAGATTTCACGTTGTAGAGCGCCTCTACATCGCTCTACAACGGAGGCAGTTCGTCACGCGGTGGATGTAGAGCTCTACAGCTCTACAGCGCTCTACAGCGCTCCAGAGCGCTCTACATCTCTACAGCTCTACAGCGCTCTACACTCTACATCCTCTACACCCTCCCTCAGGGGCCGGGCGAGGCGTAACCCGAGGGCCCTCGCCCGCTAGGAATAGTCTTCCCTGACCCCGCCCGCCTGCCCGCCTGGCCTGCCCGCCTGGCTGATAAGATCTTTTCACCTTGACTTGGTGGAGTACAGGCGCGAGGGGCGTGTGGTTGAGACTGAACTGGCTCGCCTGCCAACCTCGAAGGGGCTGCCGTCCACGCGTCGCTGCTCAGGCCGGGGGAGGGGGGGAGACCTCCTGTTCCTCGCGGAACGGGAGTAGGCCCCTCCTTGCCCGGTCAGGAAGCAGGGCGGTGGTCGTGCCATCGTCGCTTCGAACTCGAAACCACCGACACACGCCGCATTCGTCGCCGGCGCGCGACAGGCTCCCGTCGGCCGGACTGCCCTCGACGAGTGGGTGTCGCCAACCAAAGCGACACGCACTCGAGGGTAGTGCCGACGGGACGCGGCTCGAGGGCGACTCTCGCGAAGGCACGGCTGGCAACCGTGGCGTGGGGCTCGCGTTCGACAAGACCGGGATCGCTCTACCGGCAAACCTCTCGCTGACATGCGCGCCCCGTCGAGCTGACGGCGGGCGCGCTGAGGTCGCACGCCAAGCCCAGTTATATGCCAATGGCATGCGATCAAGAATCGGCTCACGCGCCTCTACTTGCATACGCTCACCCATAGAATTGTCACCGCCAGTGAGTGCGAGATAAGGCTAGCTGCTGGCGGCTAGCCCCTGAGGAGGGCGTCCATAGACACCTCACTAGACCCCACACACGGTCTCGTCCGTGCCTCGCCGGCCGGCGAGATTGCTAGAGGTGGAGCAAGCTGCTCTAGCCTCGCATGTTACTCCTCTCGTCTGTTGTGATGTTGTGCCCTTGTTTGTTTCTCTTGGCACCTTGGAGTGCTGGGGGGGGCGACAGGAAGAATGTGGCCCCGAGTTATGTGTACGCTAACTCAGGGTGTGTGGCAGCCAGCTGGCTGTGTGTCTTGTGAGCTTGTTTGTGTCTGTGTGTCGCTCGTGCGTGTCGTCATCACATCTGTCTCGCGTCCACGCACCCATACCGCGTTGGTGTCCAGTCCGAGCCTGGCTGTTCTTCACCTTTCTACCTACCTACCTACCCCGGCCAAAAGGGTGGGGGAGTATGGTCCTGGCCGCCGGAGGCGGCCCGCTCGACGGGTGGGGGGTATGGTCAATAGCTGGAGCCGCCGTACCGCCCACGTTACAACAGTACACGCCGCGCTCGCACCGGCCGCGCCCGCGCCTGCGCCCGCGCCTGCGCCGGCACGCAAGGCCCTGGCGGCCTTTGCGAACACGCTCTGAGGGGTGAGCACGATTGCCGGCGGGTCACCTCGCGCAGACTGCATCGCGCGAACCCGTGCCGCACTGCCGTCGTTGGAAAGAACCCGCTCACCAATCTGGACGCATTCGGCCGGGCGATCGTGTAGCCCGAACTCTTTGCCGTTACTTCGTGTCAACCGGCCGCGGGCCGCGGCACGCATGGGTGGGACGTGCACTTATCTGTCAGTTTTGCTGCGCGCGCCCACAACTCACGACGCATGCGGGTACGTGACGTCTGGTCGTCTGCTCTAGCGTCTGCTAGCAGTTCCGTATCGAGGCGACGGTGACGGTGTCCGACCCAGGTTGGGGTTTTCATATAATGCGGCTCTACTCGTATCTACTAATAAAATACCGGGGAAGGCCTGCGCAGCCTCTAACGATAATAAGAACATACTTACCCCCATATTGCATATATATATCTAGTTGAGAAAGTAGAAGAAGAAGAAAATTCTCATCACCGCTTTGTGTTTGGTAGGAATACTTAGAAGAAATCCGCGCACACCTCTCTTGACACGCGCTCTCTCGGACACTCGTACGTTCAAGGCAGCCTTGCCTTGTTGAGCTCCTTCCTGCCGCTGTTGATTGATTGAGCGCTACTCGAGTACCTTGAAGCAAGCAGCCGAATTCGCAGTGGGCTGAAGAGGCTGCATGCCTGGAAGAAGAAAAAACGGGAGAGATAGTGCCTGTTAGGTTAGGTTAGGTAGGAAGGTGAAGAACAGCCAGGCTCGGACTGGACACCAACGCGGTATGGGTGGACGCGGGACAGATGTGAGATGATGACGACACGCACGAGCGACACACAGACACAAACAGGCTCACAAGACACACAGCCAGCTGGCTGCCACACACCCTCTGAGTTGGCGTACACACAACTCAGCTCTCAGGGCCACGTCCTTCGTCCTCCCTGTCGCCCCCCCCAGTACACATGGCGCCAAGAGGGCACAAACAAAGAGCACAACAACACAACAGACGACAGGGAGTAACGTGCGAGGCTAGAGCAGACCGCTCCGCACCTCTAGCAATCTCGCCGGCCGCAAGGCACGGTGCCGATTCGTGGAAGAAGAAATCTGTTCGCCGAGATCACAGTCGGGACACAATGCTTGATTCGCACTGTTGCTCTGGGAAAGCTCGCGCGCCAGCGCGCTGGGCAGTCACCCATCGGCGGCTTTTCGCAGGGCTCGCATTCGAGCTCGACGGGCACGGTTGCATCAGCAACTACAACAAGAGCATCGAATACTATCCCGGTGAGAGGCGTGCTATCTTCGGTGTTGTCGATGGGTTCGCGCCGGCCGTCGCGACGTTCGCCACCGATTTTGAGATCGAGTACCGGAAGACGTACAAAATCCTGCGCAATCTCCTCTCCCATGACGTCTATGTTCTGCGGCAGTGCGGCACGCCCGCCGAGCTGCAAGATCTGCCGGCGTATGCAGTTGGCGCGACTGTGTTTGAGGTGCCGGTGTCGAGCTGGTCGACGGGCGGGACGATTGCCGTCTCGTACCTCGAGGAGCTCGGCCTCGGACCTCAGGCGGCCATCGTTGATCCGACGTGGGTGACCTCGCCGTGCGTGCAGAAGCTCGTCGGCTGCGGCGTCACCGCTTCGTGGGACCAGGCGGGAGGGTAGTCTGGCGGAGACACATCCCACCGACGGCACGGCAGCACCTCCCCCGTCCCCAAGACCCAATCCCGTGCCCAGATCGCACACATAGCCTCGGGAGAGAGTCAAGCACACACACACGGCGACGCCGGGACGGGGCGGCCACACACAGAGGCCAGCAAGCCGGAGTGCTCCGCTCGCATAGCGGAGTTAGTTCCCATGAGCTCCGATGGAGCGACGAGGAGTCGTGGGCCAGCGTGAGGCTCGGGCTTTAGGTCACGGTCCACACTCCCGCCCTGCGTACCTCAGGCGACCACCTCTGGGCACAGCTGGTCGGAGCAGGTTGCCAGGAACGGTCCTCCGCCGCCGAGCCGGATGCCCCCTCTCCAGCCTTCTTGTGTTTCCCGCTGCTCACAGGTGGCGAGGAGCGGCTCACAGCTCAACCTCATCGACCGATTCGGCAGCGGGCTGTAGCAGCAGCAGCAGCAGGAGGAGGAGCAGTGCTTAGTGATCGGTGAGTATTCATGACTAGGCACCGGGTCGACGGGCACCGCCGTCGACGTCACATTCGACGCGTCTTCCGACCAGTCGATGCTAGGCCGCGCCGAGACGGATGCAGAGAGGCAACACACCGGAGCTCACAGTCCAGACCCGGTCTCGACCCGTGTCTGCCTCAGGCCGCGCCGAGTGGGTCAAGTTCGCCGCCGCCTTCTTCAACAAGGAGGCGGAGGCGAACCTCGTCTTCAAGCGCACCGCCGCGCGCTTCGACGCCGTCGCCGCCGCCGTCGCCGCGGCGCGCGCTCGAGGCGAGCCATCGCCGCGCGTCGGCCACACACCTCTCGGCCACACCTCTCGGCCACACCTCTCGGCCACACCTCTCGACCACATCTCTCGGCCACATCTCTCGGCCTCATGCCTCGGCCCTGGCTCGGCCCTGTCTCTCGGCCGCAGGCGCACTCTCGCCGCGCGTCGGCTTCGTCACTCACGCGCCCGCGACGGAGTCGGCGACGGCGGAGTGGTGCTACCCACTAGATGCTGCCGAGCAGCTGCCGAGCACGGACCAACGTATCAACACGTACTCAAGGCACGTCATCTAGCGGCGTCGCAGTCGTAAGCGTGACGTAGTATCCGTCGCCCAGCGTACTCTCCCACCCACCTCGCACGCCTCAGCTCACTGCACACAAGCTCGCCGCTCACAGCTCACTGTTCACAGCTTCACTGCACACCATGCTCTCCCGTGTCCCTCTCCAGGCGCATCTCGGCGTCGGCCTACCTGATCGAGGCGATAGCAAAGGCGGGCGGCACGCCGCTCGACGCGTCCTCGTGCCCGGACGATGACCCGCACGACTTCAAGTACCTGTGCTCCGACGCGCGCTCGCGATGAAGAGCGCGCACTCCCGCCCCGCCCGGGCCCGGCTCGCGTGACGCCTCTGGGAGAGCCACAACGCCGTAGGCGGGCGCGATGGAGGCGGTGCTGCGCACGCTCGACGTCGTGGTGGGGAGGAGTAGCCTGGACACTTCCTCGACACAGATCGGACCCCGACACCCTCCTACCCCCTCCTGCCCTCTCCTGCCCCCTCCTGCCCCCTCCTGCCCACGACCAGGAGAGGGGAGGAGGGCCCAGCCCTCACGGGGGGCTACGGCCAGCGGGGTGGGGCGGGTCGTGCCCTCGCTCTACTGTACCCCACGACTACAACACCACGAGACCGCTCCACAACGCCTCGACTACACCTTAAAGGTACACCACGACCGCCCCGCCCCCCACCTTCCCTCCCCCGTCATGCCCCCCCTGCCCTAGGTGGACGAGTCGTTTCCGGACGGCGGCGACTACGCGGGCTACAGTGTCGCCAGCTTCCGGCGGCGCTTCCGGCTGTCCGACGGCGTGGCCTACCCCTTCCTCGAGAACAGGCGCCTCTACCGCACCGACCGCCGCCTCTCCGTCGCCGACGGGACGCAGGGCTCCGACTGTTCCGAGTGTGGGCGAGACATGTCCAGGACATGTCCCTGACAGGTCCACGACACGTCCCACACAGGTACTGACTTCTACGAGTCGGCAACGCCGCACGCAGACGCCTTTCTCGCCGACCTCGCCGCCGTCCTCGTCCCCTCGGCCCTCCCGGACCACGCTCGCCGCTACTTGCGCAACTTGGCGACGGGCGAGCGCCCTCTCGAGCTCAACGCCTCCGACTGCACCGACCCCTTCTTCAGCATATGCCCCGGCGAGACCGCGCCGCCCGCGCCGCCGACCGCCGCGAACGCTTGCAGCGCCGACGGGTACTGCCGCATCGGCGCGCCGTCGGCGCCGCCAGCACCCTCGCCTCCCTCGCCTCCGAGCGACGGCAACGGCGCCAGGCCCCTCGCGATCGCGCTGGCGCTGCTCGCCGTTGGGCTGGCGGCGCTGCTGGCGCTGCTGTGGAGACGCCGGCGCGGCACGCGCAGATGCTCTGGCTGGGAGACACTGGGAGATCGGGACTCTTCACGCCACTGGGCTGCACCTTCCCTGAAGCGTCTCCCTGGCCTCTCCCCGAACCTTCCGGGAACCTTCCGGCAGGCGCGGCATCTCCACCCGTGCGGGCAAGGCCCCCTCCCAAGGGCTGCAGCTCGCCGAGCACTCCGGCGGGGCGGCTGCGCCTCGGCTGGCCTCCCGCGGCATCCGCGTCGCGCCTCGAGGGGCGTTGCCGCAGCGAGAGGCGCGCGCGGCAACGCCACGCACTGAGCAGTGCGGGCACACCCACCCCACCCACCCACCCATCCTCTTATACCGACGGCCCCACACCAGCGTGCAGAGAGAGCGCATGTAGAGACGTCTCTCCTCACGCTATGCCGCGCCTTGCGCCTCCTAGGAGTACGTCACGCCGGCTGGGCTGGCGCTCGGCACCTCGGCGCCGCAGGTGGTTGACGGGGGCGGCGGCGGCGGCGGAGGGGGGGGCGGGGGAAGCGGACAGGGGGGGGGCTCGCTGCTAGGGATTTCACACTGAGGGGAAACAGAGTGAGGACTTTTCCCTTATCGCATGGAGTTTACTTGGAGCACTTGGAGTGTGAGAGTGAGTATTCTTTTGGGTTGTTCGACCGCCGCATACCGTCCTACAGCGGCGGGACTATCGAGCTACGCCAGGGAAGACCTCAGGGCGTTGAAGTGCAGCTGTGCTGCTCGTGCTGTTGTTCGAATCGTTCGCGGGTTCGGCGGGTTCGGGAAGGGGGTGGGGGGTCCGCGAGATCCTCTGGAAGGCGGCGAACGTACTATAGAACAAGCTGGCACGGGCCCAATACCTCGCGATGAGGTGACTTGGACCACCAAGAATTGGCTGGGGCTGCAGAACCAGAAGCAGCGTACAGTATCTCAGTCGTTCTTCACACGGCAATCGCAGAGCAGATTGTGAATGAGCTTGCCTGTGGCGGGGGCGGGCGAGTGCACGGAGCTAAGTGCCTCGTCGCCCTCGCGGGAGTCGCTTAGCTAGGCGGCTCCCGTTGTGTACCTGTGTTAGTGCCAGTGCGCGCCAGTCACGTGGGCCCAGTGTCGTGCGAGGGAGTTTTGTTGTAAAAATGTTTGTATTCAAACTCTCTCTTCGAACACTTGTACCTCCACGGATGATGCTGGCGCTGGGGTCCCCTTCGGGTGCATCGTGACAGCTGACGACGGGATTCCGTGTGTCGTGCGAGGGAGCTTTAAAGAAAGAAAGAAAACAGACAGCCCAAGGGAGGGACGGCACGCCGCCACCACACAGGGATTTTAAGAAGAGGGGTGTGGTGCGCTATCCGTCGCCCACCCTTGGGCGTCTGCCTCTTCCTATCTCTCTTCGCAGTCCCTCGCCGATTCTCGCTGCAACCTTCATGCCACTCGCGAGGGAGCTTGGGCATTTTTTCTTTTTTTGGGCACGAGTCCTGTCCCGTCGGCTTGGGCGCACAAACACATGAGACAGGCGGCCGACCAGCAGATCGGGGAGGCGGCGGACACGACGGCTGGCGGCGGCGGCGGCGGCGGCGGCGGCGGCGGCGGCAGTGGCGGTGACGGCGGTGGTAGAGGGAGCGGCGTCGGCGGCAGCGGCGGCGGCGGCGGCGGCGGGCACGGCGGCAGCGGCAGTGGCGGAGGGAGCGGCGGCGGCGGCGGAGGGAGCCGAGGCGGCGGCGGCGAGCGAAAGAAGCCAAAGAAGCCAAAGCAGCCGCAACAGAGGACCCAGCTGACGGTGAACGTGGCCGCGTCGTGGCGGCCGGGCGAGGTTGTCAAGGCGACGACGACGAGCGGCCGTGAGGTTGAGGTCACGCCGCCTCCGTCCACTCAGCCCGGCACCACCATCTCGATGGACGAGCCGTACAAGAGACGGGCGGAGCTGAAGCACATGGTCCAGTACGGGGGCTTGCGCTCGGGCGACCGGCTCAGCTTCGTTCTCAGGGAAGACCCTGAACCCCGGTGGCTAGACGGCACGGTGTGCTGGAGCGAGTCTGGGCACGTGTACTTGAGCGTGGACCCGCGGCAGCTCGAGCGGGAGCTTCGCGCCGAGCAGACGTTGGTCAGCTGTCTGCGGGAGGCTATGCCGAAGCTGGAGGAGGCCGCCCTCGAGGACGCCATGTCCAAGCGGCTGCCGCTGCTGATGGCGGTGCAGGCCTTCCAAGAGGTCGGAATCTTCTTGCGAGGAGACAAGTTTGGGCGCACCCCCTACCAGGACCCGAGGCTCTTCGTGACTCGATGCCAGGCTGCCGGCCCCGGGGAGCGCAGGTGGATGCCAATGACGCGGCGGGTCGACAGTAAGGGCAACATGACGCATGAGGGCTTTCGGGAGCGGTTCGAGAAATTAGTCGGCTGGAACGTCGACAAGGGCGAGCCGAGCCCGATGCGGCGGCGGCTCCTGGCGCCTGCCTCCGGTCGCACCGCCGGCTTCTTCATCGCGTCGAGTCGGCGCTCGGGCGAGCAGGGGAGCGCAGGCGGCAGGGGCCTCTGTAGCAGCGCAGGCGGCGAGAGCAGCGGCAGCAGAGGCGGCGGCGGCGGCGGC